GAAGAGCTGGCCTTGCAATTATTGAAATCTGCTTGGTTTTTGGTTCTGGTTTGCTATATTAGTCTGTGATATTCCTGCTTTCTGCTATCTGTGATTCAAAATACAGGACCTAACTTTCTGAATCATGCACTGAACCCTGACTATAATTTAGTTTCTTGCATTTGTGCAAAGCAAATGCTGACATACCACGAGTATGTATTTGGCAGTAACAGTATGTGTGGTATGGTCCATCCCAGAAAGTGCTGGTTCCATGAGATTCACCCTTAATTTTGCTCACTTTTTAAACAGGAAAAATCTTGTTTTCCAAAAAATTCTAATGTTGGAAAACTGTTGGGCATAACTTTGTTTCCTACTTAACTTGCAAGGAAGAGTGAGTCCTGGAACAGGTTTATTTTCTACCTGGTGCATATGGTTTCCAAGACCTGATACCTTTCTGAGCTGAACTGCTACTGCAGATTGAATGAAAAAAGGCTGACACTCTGGTTATAAAAGAGGAATGCTGACAGAAGTAGAGTGTAGATTTAGCAAAGGTGTAAATTGATTGTAATGTCTGGCTTTACAGTAGAACTATTGGTAGAGATATTTCAGTGCTGCAAGACATTTGTAATTTAGGAGCTATAGGAGTAAAAAAGCACCTTATTCTGCAAAGGCTGTAAAGATGGCTTGTGTATGTTACTTTCCTTTTGCTTGGTAATATTTCTGAAGATACAAGGGGAAGAGATGAGAGCATTTAGGGAGATGAAGAGTGAAAATGGAATCATAGTTATTGAACTTCCCCTGTTGCTGATCTTCATCTTATTGAGACAATAACGTTAACACAAATGGTTAATTCCCTTCAAAAAGAGTGAGTTTTTGATGTGTGGAGGAAGATGTGATGTGCAAGACCAATAATGGTTTGCTTATCTTATTAGTTATTGCTAGTTGTGATCAAAGCATGAAGCAGTTCTGTTATAATTCTGCAGCTGCTGTAGAAACTGATTCCACATGTAACTTGAAAGAACAATAAACGCAGTACTGTCTTTTATTTCTTAAGTTCCTTTTTCTGCTAAGAGCTTTCAAAAGATACAGAAGGAATGACTTTTCTTGCCAGTGAAACATGGAAGTTTTAGCAACATGCAGCAGTAGAATTTTATTTTTTTTTTAATTTCAGGGCAAAGAGAAACATACCATACAACTGATATTGTAGGAAAGAGGGTAGAAAAAGTCATTTGTGTAAGCAGAATACAGATACAAGATCAGGCTATTACACTCTTCAAAGGTGATTTTCTTCAAATATTTATTAGAAAAATTAGTAAACAAAAAATACATCTGGATAGGTAGCTGAAGAAAAGTGTAGTACTAGTCTCCTTCCCAGGGAGGAAGACCCAAGAAATCTCAGATCCTGTAAGTCCTTGGATACTGAGCTGTTCCAGTAAAAATTAGAGATGCAGACATAAAGATAAAAAGGATATTGCTGAAAAATCCTCGTTTGCTATTTCATGTTTCAAAGGAGATGCCTCTGTTGGTAGGCTTAGCCTGGACAGGAAGAGACACAGCAAGTCATGCTTCTGCTAGTGGCGTTGCTTTTCTGCATTGGGGACTTCTCTTCTACTTGATTTCTACTGCCCACTTACTCCTCTTTCCACTGTGCATGTGGCACGAAGAAGGCAATGCACCAAGCTCAGCTACAAACAGTCAGACAGTAAAATCAGAGGTATCTCAGATTATTATGTGAAGACTAGTTATGAAACTCTGCTTTTAAATACTTTGTCTGCTCTTAATGTTGCCAGAGGAATGAGATTAAAAATAGATCTGAGTCCTGATGGCACTGGTAGTTTTGAAACAATTCTACTGCTTTATATATAAGTTGTTTGTCATCTTCTTTCCTTGTTCGTTAGCACTAAAGGGCATGTGCGTGGTAGCACAATCTTCATGTTTTATAATCCTTCCTGTGATTCTGTCACTTTGCTCCCTAATCCAAAATCTTAATTCCCTGTGACATCCTTATTAGTTGCTCTGAAGAAAATTCTGTTGCCACAGAGGATTATGACATTAGGCAATGACTGTTAACAGCAGGAGTAGATGAACTCTCTGAGACAACAATCCTTTTATGATTCAAATGGCCCATAGTAGTAAGAAGTGAGGCCAAGTACCCAACATCTATGCTGTCCTGTCATGACTGACTCTAAAGATGGCAGATCAGGCTTCAAGCTTCCTTGTGGTATTGTCAGGCTTTCAGAATTCCTCATAATTGTTTTGCTCTTTTTCCTTTTTTTTCCCCGCCTCTGGCTGCTGAAAGTGCTGTTCCCATCTTCACACTTGATTTCTGTTAAATACAATTCAGATACCATAATATAGGCCAAGAATTCAAGTACTTTGGCTGTCTGGGTTCTATCATATGAAGAATTCAAGCCACAGATACTGGGCCTCATGCAGTCTTATGCTTTGAATACAGTCCTTTCTCTTGCAGCATCTAGATAAAGCATATGCCCATTGCCAAGTCCAGTTAGTGATTAAAGTGTTCTCAGAAAAATGTAGCAAAAGTGGAGGATCGTTGTTGAAAATGGTGTTCTGCTCTGCTGCAATGTAATGGTCTTTATAGTTGATGCTGTAGGAAGTTTGCATAGAGTCACAGTTGCTTTCTGGTTTAATTTTTAAAATATAGGTGTAGATAGCTTGCTTGCTTATACCTCTAGGAATATTGCCATTAATGCTTGAGGTTAGATAGTGGGATAGTAATGTGCAGGAGGAGGTATCTGTTCCTCATTCCTTATCCTCAGATAATTTAGACATTTTAGGCAAAATAACAACTAATATTCTATTTCAGATTGTTAAGTGTTATCCCTTCTTTTGCTTGGCCAGAGTAAGTCTAAAGCAAATATCAGACCACAACCTGATGCACATGTATATATATTCATATCCATGATTTTTACAAGAGTAAAGGCAGGAAGGAGACCTGTACATACATGTGCCTGCCTGCCCACGCTGGGAAGTCTGTCAGCTCTGTTCTAATCTAGAAGTGATCTGTTAATTTCACACTGTGCCACTGAGACCACTGGGATTCATATGGCTGCAAATGAGAGTCAGGTGGGTGGGAGGAAGAGGTGGAGGGGAGGAGAAAGGTGTTGAAAAGTGCTGCTCAACTTTCCTTCAGCATGGCAACAAGGGGTTTTCTTGCTGTGGCTGCTGCTGTCACTTCTTCACTATTAAAATAGGTGAACTTTCCTTTAGGGATTTTGTTATTGTCTTCTATTAACCACACTTATGCTTCTACCTAGAGGTTTTGGAGTTTGTTTGTTTGTTTTTAGCAGTGTAATAAATTCTGGAAGAAGCTCAGGTTTTTGTTAAGGTTCAGTCAAACTCTGCTTACCGAGTCATATGTTCATTCTCATTGCAGGAGAGATGTAAAGAAATGCAGATAGCTGAAAAACTACTGAAATTCATCCATTCTGTTCTTTCAGTGAGGAAAGGTGGCCTGGTGGGGAGAGCAGAAGCTCTGCACCAAAGCTTTAAGGGTCCATTCTTGGCTTGGTCTTTGAATTGTTGGGAGGATCGTGGCCTGACATGGGACTTGTAGTTAGATGTGGGTTCTACAAGGGCTTGTAAATACTGAAGTGACCAGGTGTGCAATCTAAGTATCAAAGGTGCTGAATAACGGTGGGATTTTGTGAAATCGCTATGGATGGTGTCTGATGGAGGTTGAAGGGTTTAATTTTATGTTAAAATATTTTAAAATGCTGTCTCTGCTTTGGTCTGTCCTATCTAATCTATAAAATATGGATGGTAGTGTTGATGTGATGAAGAAATAAGGAAAGGTTTGAGTCTTGTGGAGTTGCTGTTGCTAGCAAAGACTGTAAAGAAAGATGCTGGGATGGGTTGAATAGTTATTTTTTTGTCCTTATGGTATTCTCCTAGACCAAAAGTGGTTAATGAACTGATCTCAGGCAGCCTAGCCAGTTGATCCTTTATTATCTGCTTTATTTCTTTCATTTCTTCTTTTCCAACAAATACAGGATATAGCATAGTAGGTATGTCAAATATATATGTACATTTTATTTAAAATCCTGCACAACAGGGCTGACATACCTTTGTCTAGAATGCTGAATATAAAATACTTACCCAGGAGGTAACTTGTAAACTCATGTTCTTGCGATCTATGACTTACAGCTTCATGCCTGCTCTCAGATGATTCAAAATCCAGCTACCTCCTTGTGGATGAGACCAGTAGATGTAATTCAGAGTCTCTCTAATCTGAAGATTACTTTTTTGCCTATTTCTTGGATTTTGTCTTTGCAAGGCTTACCTGAGCAGGATAGCAACTGTTAGCTGCAAATTACAGAACAATGAGAGGCTGTTCTGTCAGTAGTGGCTGCTTCCTTCTCTGCTTCCACCAAAAGCATGAAAAGCAGTCCAGAAAGAGAAGTGTTGTGAATAAATGTCATGCCTTTCTGAGGACTTCATTAGCATGCTTCCAGAGGAACCTATGTAATAGGTCAGAGTGTTTGGTTTTTGTTTGACTGATTTTTATTAACTTATGAAGCCAAGTTGTAGCCAGCTGAGGCTTCAGTTTGAATCTACATTATCAGTGTTCTTTGGGTATGATGAGGCATTGTTCATGGGCCTATTAATTAGCTTTCATTTCTATAAGGGGATCAAGCTTCTAGGGAAGCACAACAACCTGGCCGTGTTTGTTGGTCTGACATCACCCCCTATTTTACTGTGAAATTCTTTGAGCAAGTCAGGAATGTGTGAGTTGGGCCTGCCTAAGAGGGAATATGTTGCTGTTCCCTCTTCCTTGCTCTGTGTTAGTTTGCTGTTCTGTTGTGAGGTGTACACTGTCTTTGTGCTCTTTTTCCCTGAGTTTCTTGCACGTCCAGCAATGGAACAGTGTTTGGTTAGTGCTTTCTCTCTTCTGCATGAGGATCCTGATGGTAATGGTAGTGATGAATTGACGATATTGTGGGCCTGGCCCAGTGATTCTCTCAGCTTTATTTCACTCTTTCTTGTAATCCTTTCTCCAGGACCAAGCACTACCTGCCAGGAAGATTCCTGTGCGAATCAGGGCATCTGTAATCAGCAATGGGAAGGCTTCACCTGTGATTGCTCCATGACTTCATATTCTGGGAGCCAGTGTAATGATCGTAAGTAGACTTTTCAGTGCATTGGTTACCTGTGAGTTCTGATACATGAGAGTACAGAAAACACATGATTTATTGTTCTTTCAATTGCAGTACAACTTTCTCAGTGTCAAATCTGAACATTTTTCTTGGGCATTTCTCTAAAGCCTACAGCAGGTTATTTTTTTTCTCCTTAAAATGAAAATATGCAATTCAGCATGTATTGGGTTTGTTTGGCTGTTTTTTTTTTTTTCCCATTTCTTTTTGAATACTGACTTTACCAGTCCAATGGTGGCAATTGATGTTAATGGAATTCTTGGTTTAGAGAAACCAGGAATGACTTTGCAGATATTGTATGTAATATTTTCATAGGTAAAAAATGCCTAGGTTTTGTGTACTGAATTATGCTTTGAGATTTTCATTCAAACCTTGGTGAAAAAGGCATGGAATGCATGTAAAATGAATAGTGTTCTAGATAGTAGTGTTCTAGTCTTCTGCTGCCATATTAGCTGTATGCTGAAATGCTGAGTAATGTTTCTGAGAATGTTCACTTAAAACCAGCAAATAGTTAAATACACAGCAGAACCATTGTACTTCTTGGTGTATTGATTTGCTTAATCTCAAAACATTGAATGCTCTTGGCCAAGTAATGCTAGGATTGCTGATAAAATAACTGAACAAACCCCTTAAGTCTGCCTTTAGGAGGCAGATAATCAGCTTTTTGACATTCCCTCTGCTCATCATGGTTTGGCCTTTGCTCCTGCCTGGAGAGAACAGATCACTTCAGCTCTACTGTCTGCTTGCTTCTCTTATTTGAGGTGACTGCCCCCTTCTCCCTCACTTGCTCCAAGGTAGGGAACAAAGGAATACATCATGAGTGCTGTAGTAAGCGTAACAGTAGGCTTCAATAATTTGGTTCACTGACTGTATGAATTTTAAACACAGAAAAAACTGCTTTTCGTTAAGGTATTTGTGGTAGACTTAATTAGTGGTAGCAGCAAGGTCCATGCAATATTGGTACTACAGCACTGTCATATCTGCAACCCTTCCCCTAAAAGTCTGAGACATGACTGAATTGATGGCACATATGACAAGCTGTGTAGCATATGGTGACAATCCGTTTCTGCTGAAGGCCAAAATGCCTGCTTTTCTGAGTCATTCATAATATGTAGTGTTGTCTGTGTTGGTCTCCCATTTCTTCCAGCATATTTCTCTCAAACAGATATTGGAAAGGCCTATCAGCATTCATACTTTGACAGGGGCTGTATAAACAAGGTACTGCTGACACAGATTTATAGACTGTAATGCTGTGTCTGGTTTTGGATTGCTTTGGAATTCAGAATGTTTCCTTTGGGTCCAGAAGAAACATTTGATATTGGAGTCACAAGATCTGGTGCCAATTTTCTGCATTTTTATTTTGGTTTGCTTTTATCAATTGGACACCCACTTTCCCACTGTCAAACTACTTGTTCAGTCAATCAGTTTAGACTTGCTAAGCGTAGCACTCAAATGTGTGAAAGAAACACTACTTTGAATTCTGTTGGGTTGCATTTACATACATATCCAGGAAATCTCTTAGGTTATTGATACTGTGGGGTTTGTTTCTGATGTGTTTGGCTTCACAACTCCAGAACATTGCTGTGCCCTTGTTATGTTGTTGCTAATGGCTTAGAGCAGACCCAGAAGCATCAGGAAGAGTCAGGTTCCTGTGTCTGTAATTGGGGATTTCTTGCTGATTTTTAGAAGTGGCAGCTGGAAATAACGCAGAGAAAGGAGCTTGAAATGAGTGGGGGTGTTGTGGGCAGTGTAGGAGCCAGCCTCCAGTTATCAGGCCTGGCTGGTAATTTACAAACACAGGCAGAAGGTGTGGGTTTCAAAGTGATCTGGAAAGGTAAGTCATGTGGACTCCTTCTGGAACATGACAAGACTTCACCCTGGACCTTCAAAAAGTGCGTATGACATTTTTTTTATGGGTTTTGTTTGTTTGATTTTGTCTTTGTCATGTATCATGACATTGGAAATGGACTTCTACTCCTGACTTCCTGATACAGTAAGGATACATTGTGGGTGTGTAATTGAGAAGGCTAAAGTCCTATTCCTTCCTACCTTTTAGATGTGGTTGCTAATCGAAGTACAGGCATCTATCAATTGAAGCAAATTCTCTAGACTGGGTTTGAGTGCAGATATGGCATGGAAAGATACCTCCTGTTATCTCTCAGGTGTAACCTGAGGTCTTTTATTTAGAAACGCATCAGGCTCTTTGGTAGAATAGTTTTTTTTTTTGGCCACAGCATGCCATTCTATTAATTTAGTAGATAGCTATTTCTACCTTATGAGCAATTGGTGATCTCCCACTGGAGACCACCAATGGAGTATTGAAGTAAATGGAACAGGTCGAGTTTTACACAATGAAAATGATAGCAAAAGGCTGACATACTGTACATATTTTGCCTTTTTATTTATGTTCATCAAGTCAAGTGTCCACACTGGAAATTTGCATCTTTGTGTGTTTGATGAAGAATATATCTGTGCCTCTGAGATAAATAAATGGAAAGTATGGTATTCTCTTCAATTATTCTTGTTGTTCTCCTAGATTATCCCTAATAAACTATTGGTAGGTGTGATTTATGTTTGGGGGTTTTTATTATTTGCTAGAGCGAACTTTGCAAAGATATTCAGTCTTATTAATGCTGAGCAAAGCTTGGTGTGCCAGTATGTTTTCCTTCTTTAATTTTTGTCCCAGGACTAGGCCATTAAACTTCCTAATTCAGATCCAACTGGCTTGGAACCGCTGTTTCTGAAGGATGAAAAGGAAGCACCTGTAATTCCCCTTCACCCTTCAGAGGTGACAAAGATGCATTTTGTAAACCTATAGACATGTTTATTCATTACCAGTGTTGCTTAACAAGACTAGGATTTAAATTCCTAATGGAAATGATGATATAGCCTTTAATTTTAGCTATTTGTCTGTAGCTCTATTTTAGCTGTTCTTTACTTTGTGGTAATCAAGATGCTTCAGAATAAGAAATTAATGGGAGCTATGAGGGCATAAATTGAGTTTTAATATGCTTCATTCTGACTTGTACAACTGTACTCATATTTCGAAAAACCAAACACAGGAATAACACAGGAATAACCCACAGACAGGAATAACCCAGAGACACCCTCTCTCCTCAAGTTCATTTGAGAAGGTCCATTGTACAAAAGTGAATTTAAAGGTTTGCCCTTCCCATTGGCCATTACTAACACCTGAAATGAAAGGTAGAAATAGAAGCAATAGTGCTATTCATGATATACTGGTTCTATTTTCCATGTCATTTTAAAATATATTCTCAAAATTTTGAAGTTGTTCCATAGTCTTCAATATTTATAGATGTTTTAATCATTTCAGCATCACATTCAATGTGGGCTTTCAACTTATTTTAAGCATCTGCACACTACTCTGAGATGTAGGAAGTCAGTGTCAGTGTACTGCAGTTAATATTAGAAATATTAAACAATCCTTCTTGGCATGCCAAGCTTTTGCTTAGACTGTTCAAATGTGCAGCTTTAAGCATGTAAGGCAGCAGATGTAAAGTTAACCCACAATGTTAGTGAAGTGTCTTTCATCTGGGGTGAATCCACCCTGCTAATGTTAACTATGAAATGTGATCAAAACATGATAGTTATGCCTTCAAACCTCCCTGAGAAGTGACCTGTATTTAAACTATTGTCTATGAACAGCTTTAGAGATTTTTTGATTCATTCACATTCTTGTCTATCTGATGAAACAATAACATTTTCTGCACAAGAGAGAATGCATAAGAGGCAGCATTGGCAATAGAAAATGCTGCTTTTTACTCAGTGCTTCATGCAGATGGGTAACACTGAGGGTCAAGCTTTCCAGGAGCAATTGCCAGGGTAACACATGTATGTATTAGTAGTGGTATTTGCCTGTGAAAAATCAATGTTTTGCAGCAATGACTTTTGCAAGCAGAGTATAAATCACCTTTTCAAACAGGTTTTATGTTGTTGTTGAAACAGTTAAATCCATCTGCTGATTACTGATTGCCTTTTTAGAAGGGTTATTCATTCATTTATTTATAAACTTTGGGTTGCAATAACCTGGTTTAAAACACCTGGTTTAAAAACAACTTTCCATTTGATTGGTAAAGAGAAAAGGGAGCCCAAGATTTTTGTCCTCTTGTGTTGCTATCTTCATATGCCTCAGTCTCCATGCGTTTCAAGAATCCTGTTCCTAAGTAACCTTCCAATGAGGTTTCTTGGCTGAGTGATGCTTGTTTTTTTGTCTGGGAGAGAAGTAATATACAGGGCTGTTGGGTTTTTTTGTGCAATAAGTTAAATTTTTTTTTTTCCCCAATCCGTTTGTGATGCATAATCTATATGCTTTTACTGTCTTTATGTGAATATCATTTGGAGGAGGAAAAGATTATAGGGAAAGAGAGTTATGGTGACTTTGGTCCATTGTTCATTAATTTAGCATCGTCACAAGAAGAGCTTTTGATAACTTCAGTTATGTAGTCATAGTGAGTGAGGCTTACTAGCCAATTTTTTTTTTTACTTTACATAAAAGTAAGGATATCAAAATTAGCAAAAAATGTCTAAGATCAATACTTTAGAGTAAAGCACAGAGTATTTTTGATTGATTAAGGAAGACTGAAGCTGGCCTTAGCCTCACGTGTGTGACATACCAAGGTTGTCAGAGCAGGCCCATCCCTCTTCATTAATGTCCTTCTTTTTTGCATCCTACTAAGTAAGTGAAGGAGTGTGAAAGTGTATTGATGCTTCTGGAGCATAGTCTGTAAACTAGGTTGCAGTGGCAGAACTGGTTTCCCTCACATCTGCTTAAATAGCACAGCAGAATAGTCATTAGAAGAGACTACTAGCAGGAGAAATGGCTAAATAGGGAACCCTTCCTTTATCATGATGGCTTTATTCTGATATGCTCATGAGCCATTTGCACCTCAAACTTACTCTGTGAGTCACTGAGCAGTTACAGCTCGTGCTCTCCATTGCAGGATTCA